ACATCAATCCACAGAAACAGTATATTGCAATGTGTCATTAAGATAGTAACAATAAAATTAAACAGAATAAAACAAAAATAATAATAATTACTGTTCCGGACTATCAAGATGAAACTGGATAAAAATGAGAATAAAGGCAAGGTACTGTGCAGAAAAATACAAAATTACAAGAAAAAACAGTCATGACAAACTCATGATCTGAGGGGGTGTGCAAATTGATTCAAACTCAGTCATTAAGTCCAGTCCAAAAAAAAAGATGTACACTTGCCACTGGTTATTATTTATGTAATGATTGAGAGGTAGAGTTGTTCGATGTGCAAACACAAACATGGATGTTTATCAGGATTGTTGGGAGCAGTGATGGTTATAGAGTCTAACAGCTGATGGGAAGAAGGATCTTCGGTAATGGTCCTTTTTGCATTTAAGATGCAGCAGTCTGTCACTGAAGGAGCTCTGCAGGTCAGCCACAGATACTTGCATTGGGTGGGAGATGTTCTCTGTCACTGATGTTATTTTACCCAGAGTTCTTCTGTCTCCCACCACCTGCACTGGGTCGGGGGGCATCCCAGCACAGAGTTGGCCTTCTTGTTGAGCTTATCCAGCCACTTCCTGTCAGCTGTAGATAAGCTGCTGCTCCAACAAACGATGCCATAAAAGATGGCTGAAGCCACAACTGTGTCAACGAAGGTCTTCAGGAGTGTCTCCTGCACTCCAAAAGACCTCAGCCTCCTCAGCAGGTAGAGTCTGCTCTGACCCTTCCTGTAAAGAGCATCCGTGTTGTGAGTCCAGTCCAGTTTATTGTTCAGGTGAACACCCCGGTACTTATAAGAGTCCACTATCTCAATGTCCACTCCCTGAATACATAATGCAAAATACAAAAATTAGGGATGTCTGATAATATCGGCCTACAGATACAGTATGTAAAATCTCTACATATCGGTATCGGTTTTTCTTCTGATAACAAAAGCCGATAAATTAACGCCAGGATTTGACGGTTAGGGTTAAAAAATGTTTGTGGTCCAGAGACGTTCACCGACGTGTGATGACATCATCAAACTAGATTATCTCAGGGAGAGCATGATCCAAACTATCGTTTGAGACAAAATCTTAAAAAGAAATATGGCATTTTTTCCACAACTTCAGTGAAAAGTTTTTTTTTTAAATTTTGTACAGACAATGTTTCTCTTTGGAATGCATCTAGTGGGGTATTACAGTAAAATCAGGCATAATGTTCCTGACAGGAGATATGTGATGTCACCTTAATATTGGTTTGTAATATCGGTCAATATTGGAATCAGAAATTGTGTTGAACAATATCGGCTTATCGAATATCGCTAAAAAGTCATTAKTGAGCATCTGTAACAAAAATGTTTAACTCAAAAACTATTCAACATAAGAGCTTCAATTGTTTTGTTTGTTGTTTAGCTCTGATGAAGGTTTCATTCATCGGGCCCACTAATGATTGCTGGGTCACAAATTGGTGCTTTACGTTTGTATAGGGGTCATATATGCTACCGCTATGTGACATCTAGTTTAAATCCATATCAGGAAAAACAACCAAAAGCAAAATAATAATAATAGTAATAATAATAAAATTCCTAAAGTACTTTTAAGTTAAGATGAGCAAGAAAATATGCAATAAAACCATCATTTTATTTCAGTCCTTAAGAATAAAAAGGTGTTGACTTCAAAGGAGGTAGGGGAGAAAAGAAGTGAATGGCTGCAATATTGTGTTTTAAAAAAGTGGTGCATTTTACACTTATTCAGTTGGAGCCAGAACAAGGTTTTGTTTTATTTTATTTTATTTTTCCCCCACATGTTGGAGGTCGGGTCCATTTGTTGAGAATTGGATTTTACGAGTCAAGACTCTGAAAGGTCACCATCATTTTGGGAATATTAGTTTTTATGACCGTTTCTTTTCAGAGGACTGTGGTCTTGTAGTCCTGAGGCTGCGGGTTYGAGTCCAGTTTGTATCGGGATGGAGATCAGATGGAAAATAACTGAAGAATTTCTTGCGGAGTTTGCTTTTTGAGGCGGCCACTCTTCCTTTTTTCCAAAGGAAAAAAAAAAMMACTCTTTTACAGAAGCTGCTCCTGTTGATGTCTGTTTACAAAAATAAAAATAACGGTTATTCTTCGCAGAATTACTTCATAGAGAGTGGTGAACTGCTAATGAACGTTTCTTGTTGGTGGGGCTGTTTTCTGGCTGGGCAAAACAGGTTTTTCGGGAGGGGGGGGGTTACTTTTTTCCACTGGTGTCCCCAGTGTCTCATGTGTTTTAATAAATTGTTTATGTTGACTAACAGGCGTGTTTATTACCTGCCTTTTAAAATGTGAATGAATCATATTGAGCAGAAGCAAAGACTTTAATGGCATCAATTAGGGCAATGAGCAGTGTTTCACACAACAAGGGACGCATTTTAGACGTTATATAAGTGTGTTCAAACGAGTTCAACCAAATAATTTAACATCATTAGAGGTGCAAACTCAGTAACCCTTAAATTAAAGCAACAAAGGAGTTCCTCTTTTATGTCAGGAGTAAAAAAAAAAAAAWWTTTTTTTCTGCGAAATGTTTGAAGAGTATTTCCAGGATATATGCAGMTGAATGAGCCTGTAAAATAAACAACCTTTTTTAAGAGGCAGGTAATCTTCAAAAGAAGTGTTTTTATCATTATTTTGTCATTTTAATACCTCAGAGGGAGCTGTTACACTAACCTGGTTTCAGATTGACTTATATGCAGTGTTCTTTTGTGATGAGTTTTTGGTGAATTCGACTTTGGATCTACGCATGCAAGACAAACTAAATGGTGCTTTCCCCCTGATCAGGGGCAGTTCTAGGGGGCGGGGCCACAGGGGCATTGGCCCCAGCTGAAATCTGATTGGCCCCCTGAAGTGCCCCTGTCCTGTTGCTCTCTGTCTTTTATCTGTTGGGTGATAATGGTGGATGCAGTTCCATGTTCAAACACTAGTTGTGCTAATGAGTCAAATAGTAAAGTCCAGAATGAATCAAGCTGACAGAATTCTTCTTCTCTTCTTAAAATGTGAACAATCCTGCAAAAAAGTCTTTCAACTGACAAATGATGGCTGGATTTTTTCACATGTTGTGTGTTTGAAAATATTTTATTCATGTGCAGTAAAATGTATGAAAAACTGGTGAGAATTTACTGTGCAAGATTTTTGGTACCACTTTACAATCAGGCTCCCCTTATAGATGGCTTATAAAGAGTTTATAGATAAGTTATTAATTCATTTGTAAAGTTTACACTTTATAAATCATTAATAAATGAAGCTGGACAATTTTGTCTCTTTCTCGTCCTTAATTATTGCATAATAAACACTTATTAATAATATTTAAAGTGTTTACAGATTAATTAATAACCTATCTATAAACTCTTTAAAAGCCATCTATAAAGGGGGCCTTATTGTAAAGTGGTACCTTTTTAAAAAAATTACATTACAAGTGTTTGAAGTATAAAATGTAAACACTGGGAATTTGTGTGAAAGGATGTTGAACAAAGACTTGGCCCCTCTATAAATATTGTGGCCCCTTGATGGCCCCTTACTCAGAAAAATCCTAGTTCTGCCACTGCCCCCAGTAATGTCAATCTTGGTTGTGGCGGCACGACGGCTCAGTGGTGAGCACTCACGCCACGCAGCAAGAAGGTCCTCGGTTCGAACCCTGGTTCAGACCTGGGGTCTTTCTGTTCTCCTCGTGCTTGTGTGGGTTTTCTCCTGGTACTCTGGTCTCTGGTGTACAATAGGTTGCCTTCAGGCCCAGACCTCCCTTGAGAAAGAGATCTGAGATCTCAATGGGATTTGCCTAGTTAAATAACGGTAAATAAAAAAACAAATTTAACCCACCAAATGTTTTAATCTTGACTCTTGAGATTAAATCAGATTAATTGCTTCTGAGGATGCACGATATATCGGCATTAACATCGGTATCGGTCCGATAAGTAAAACTGTGCCGTTATTAACGTCTAATATTGATTTCCCACTTGTTGCTGTTTGTGTTTCTGTTTTGGGAGGGGAAATGTTCGGTCCAGTGGAATCTGTTTGATCATGATAGTGACGCTGCGCAGACATAACTGAAGCAGAACCGGGTCAGCAGTCTGGTCGTTTTTTACCATATTGAAAAAAGACAAGTGTATTTGTGCGTATATGTATGTAAATAATGGGTGTGTTTCTGTGTAATAATGGTAAATATTTGTTATGGGCCATAACACCAATAATACTGAAATGTTTTGGCTGAAATTGCATTAGCTTCATCACAAACCTCCTGTTTGCTTCATTTATACTGACTTGTGTGAAAAACTGGCACATATTTGTGTTCAGTGCATCAGGCTGTGGTTTGAAGCCTTCTGACAGATCCAACAGGAGCACAATAAACAAAAAACTCCAAAAACAGGCAGTGATGTATTTAAATTTGCCCCCAGAAGGTTGTTTATGTGATCAAGTGTTGTTACGCCCTTTCTTTGCCGCTGCAGTGACGTGGCTGAACCACGTTCGGCAGGTTTTTGACAGATGGTTGTTGTTTTCTTCCCATTCTACACTTGTGAGAGGTACAGAGGTGGGGCGGTGGTGGTTAGTGGTTGAAATAACGACCCCTCGGTGCTCCACAAGCATCCATTCTGTTGGTCCAGGACTCTGGGAGCCAGCCGGGGCCTTTTCCCTTTGTCAGTGGTGAAAAATGAAGCTTTTCTGAATCCCCTGCACTCGCTGTGCTTCCCTCTAGGCGCCTCAGAAACATTGAGTTAACATAAAGCAAAATTCAGGATGTGGGCGGCACCAGTGACAAATGAAGCGCCTCCGTGTGTTTTGGAGGGAAAATAAAGGGGGGGKGGGGGGGGGGGCTTTTCTTGAAGAAATGAGATTTGGTCCATGTTGCTTCCTTCAGGCACAATTTTTCACCGCGGTTCAAATGGATCCGAGAGTCACAATGGAAGATGGAATATTCTGGAAACAGGAAAAAGGAGAATAATCAAAGCATAAAGCATTTACCTTCAGCTCGCTCTCAGCCTGCAGTCCGTTGCTGCTCCGCTCCCATTTTGTCACATTACAGCTTATTTTCACACCGTGCTGCTCGTCGGGCTGAAAGAGAAGTCTCCAGTCGGTCTGATCACGGCACCTGGTCCACTGCAGCCTCGTCAAAATGGATCCAATTTGGGTTTGGGAGTGAAAGCTCGCTGGGGTACAAATGAGGCGCCTCGGCTCGTCTGTTGGGGAGCTGTGCTCTTATCTGACTTGGACTCATTTTGTAGTCTGCAGGAGAGGAACGGAGTGGACGGTCTGAGCAGCTCTTGGCTACAGTGTAGAGAGGCCACGGTGCCGTGGTGTTTTCAGGTCCAAAGACTTGTCAGCTAATTAAAAGGAGCGTGGTGTGTGTGTGTGGCATAGTCACACTCGCTGGCTGCAGTGCAAGTCACTCCAGGAAGCCAGGCGGGCCCTCGTGTTGCAGCGGACTGTCCTGATTCCCTCTTGATGAAAACCATGTAGAGCACTTTTATGTTTGGTTGTGTCCGTGTAGATCAGGCTGTTTACTCAGGAGTTAAATGTTTGTGTGCATGTAGGTGTGACGCACAATTAGGCCTTGCTGCCATTGCAACTCAAATAGGTTTTGCCTCACCAATTACCAAAGAGCCTTCAGGCAGTGCAGGCTTGAGTTGCTTCCCAAAGTTTCAATTTGACTGCTTTTGTTTTTCTTTTAAATTTAATTAGTTTGTGAGAACATGTTTTGGAAAACAATTCATTGACTCTGCCGGAGCTATCAATTACAAATGACAATATCCTCAGAAAGAGGAAATAAAATCAATTATCACGTCTTTATATATTATATGATTAAAATACTTTAAAGGCTGGAAAATAAACTCCCAACCCGCTCTTCCTATTTCCTCAAGAATGAGTCTCATCAGATCAAAATGAGATATCTGGGAAACGAAAACAGCCCGCAGCTTGCATCACCATCTCATCACAACGACGTAAATCAGAAATTATGTTCAAATATCTGTTAGTTTATAAAGTATTTCACTACAAACTAGTTCCTTCAACAGCAGAGATGATCTACTTAACAAGATTCTGAGTTGTGTGTGTGTGTGTGTGTGTGTGTGTGTGTGTGTGTGTGTGTGTGTGTGTGTGTGTGTGTGTGTGTACTTGTTTCTACTACAGAGTGAGGACCATTTGCACCATAGTTACTATCAAAGTAAGGTCTTTGATATAAAGTGAGGACCTCTTCAACGTCCCCACTTTATTTACAACTCTGCTGTGCTTTACTAATTAGGTTTAGAGGTATGGTGGGAGTTAAGTTCTGGTTCAGGTTAGAGTTAACTATAGACCAGTAATGGTTAATTTTACTAATTAGGTTTAGAGGTATGGAGTGAATTAAGTTCTGGTTCAGGTTAGAGTTAACTATAGACCAGTAATGGTTAGAGTTATAGACCAGTAACCATTTTGATTCTGATTCCCAACGATTCCTGATCCTTTTTAGAGACAGGGTCATTAAATTTTACATGGTTCAGGCAGCTAACCAACAAGCTTTTATTCAGCTAAACAGTATTTTTGATCTTGTTTTTAGAGTGATATAGGTACAAAGCTAGAGCAGAATTTGTTAGATTATTATTCTTGTACGCCTGGAAATGTTCATTATTTCAAGAAGTGCTACAAGTGCAGTTGTTTGATTCCACTGGCAGATTGTTTTACATCAGGGGTCTCTGACCAGCAGCTCATGAGCTCATTTAAAGTAGCTCTTCAATGCTTTTGAAAAATTAGGAGAAGCAAAATTTAATTTATCACTGGCCAAACAAACTTTCATGTAATTCTAATCAGTCTATAGATGTCCCTTCAATCAAACAGTTTAGGGCTCAGTGTGGTCGATTTGCAGGCAACGCGCGGCCACACAGTTGTTTGTCGTTCGTTTTCGCGCACACCTATCATAGCCCCTTGACACACACTGTGCCGAGCTCTTGGGGAACCCCTCCCGCTGTGGTATACGTCAGTGCACAGGGTTTCTCCCTGCTGGAGTCTATAATGTGGAAAAAATAAAATCGGAGACCCACCACCTGACATTATTTGTGCACAAATCGGTCGCGGTTAAACCCTAAGTTTGTAGTGTGTTACACTGTAATATGAATGGATAAACACAAAAAGCACATTCATGTCAATTTAGTGCTCTTTGTGGTGGTTTCATCTGACTGAAGCTCAGTGTGAGTGTTAGACATATTTTATTGTTTTATTTATCCAGAAGTGTCAAAAACAGAACGCTGAGTGATGTTTAGTCATGTTGGTAGTGTGCGATCTTTTGCACGATATAAGTTAAACCCAACTTTACTGGGTATCAGAAACTAGGAATCAAAATTGAAACATTTGAATGATTAAAACGTGTTTTTGTAAATTATTGTTTGAGTTTACTTTTTGGGAAAAAGGGGCAGATATGGTTATTTTTCTTCTTTCTGTTGCCTTTCATTTTTTGTATATTTTTTATTTTTTTTTGTTTAGTTTTTAAAGAAGTGAAAAAAGTTAATAAACTAAGCTTAAAAAATCATTAGTCCCGGTTCCAATCAAGACTTGATATCCAAGACTGTGACTGTTGGAGACAAACAGTGCCCAAAAAGGGGACGTAGGTAAGGGAAGTGGATGGACATATATGCAGGTGTCTGAGACCCCCTGGCAGCATTGCTGGGCTAAAAAACATGTTGGCAAAAACTGGATTAAATATTGTAGAAAAGTGAACATTTTGTAAATGTCTGCRTCAGATTCATTTGAACATTTCAACATAGTTTTGTTTGAATTCATGCGTAACTGAAACACATCCACACCAACCTGTCWTGTTTCTCACTGCACTTCCTGACCTTCGAACATAACCAGGTGCCTGTAGTTGCTCAGCGGCTGCACCTGTGGAAGCTTTTCAAGCACGTTGTTCAATCCACAGCTCCTTTTTTTGTGCCTCAACAACAGGTGTTTAATCATTGAACAAGAGAAGAACGGAGCCACAGAATCTAAACTAAAAGCAGTCAAAGTCACTCCATCAGCCTCGCGTCGCTCTGAACAAGAAGTTTATTCAGGTGATGCTCGCTGACGAGCGGAGCGGTTGATCCTCACGGGTCGATTCAGCCTCTTCAGTCCCCGCTTCTCTTTGAAGGCAGCCTGCAGACGTCTGCGACTGGCAGCACTATTAAGACCCGTCAGAGCACTTGGATATCACAGACAAGGTGTTCAAACGTCTCTGTCTGAGGCCTGGACATGGACCAGCCGGTCTTCACGTCTCTGTGGACTTACTGCAGTGAAAAGAAAATAAATCTCATTTCATCCTAAAGAACATTTAACCTACAACACAAACAATTACAGAAACATGCTTACTCCTAATAAGATATGAAGTGCTGCTGCTGTTATTTCGACAGTTTTAAAGAATAGAATTTAAAGCTCATTTATAAAAGATGGGATGTTTTTTGGAGGCAGTGCAGTTTAAAGTCAAGAGCTATAGTCTCCCCACACATTGCATAAAGTGGCCAGTGAATTATGTTCTGACAGATTGAAAGACTAATTATTAAAGCTCTTTAGAGGACTATGAAAGCATCAGGACTTGCTATTTGCATATCCTTCATCTGCCTGGTGTGTCAACAAAAGAGATTCGCGCTCTCCACCGCTGTATTCAGATGCAAAGTAAAGTGAATGTAATTATGTATGCTTTCGTTTTTTTTATATAACATTTTGTTCTGGTTTTAATATGTTCCCTGCCATGAATTTCAATTGAGGCTCTCCCATTTGTTTCTCTTTACAAATGAAAAAAAAAAGTGTGTGCAAGGTTTAATTCTATTTGTGTGGAAATGTGTTTTAATATTTGCCCGGCGGCAGGTCAGGTTAAAAATTCATATTTCATAAAGTGAAGATAAGCAACAGTAATAGCTCACTTAGAGCTCGAATGGAAGAATGTTTTGTTGAGCCCCGTGGAGATGTTCGTGGCCTAATTCTGCAAATGTGTTTAGGGAAAGTTCACACGATAACCTGGGTGACATCAGCACCTTCATCTGTCTCCTCAAACCCCAGATATTTTCATYTGCAGCTCTGCTGCAGTATGCAGCAATTACAAACACCAGAATGGGGAGAAAAACTGAAAAAAAGAAAATTATAATCAACCGTGTTTCTTAAAATAATGCATATCACCCTGGGCTGGTAATAAGAGCTCCGTCAATCTAAAGGATGACAAAAATGGAGGACAAAAATAATATTTTACAACTTATTATCAGAGTCTAGTTAATTTAGTCTGTATAATGACTGGTGCTCAGTGTGTAAATAGAAAATAAATCTAGATACCACATAGCAGTAGCATATATGACCCCCGCATGAACGCAAAGCACCAGAACTCACCAGAACTGATTTATTGTTTTGAGTGGGGTTTGGGGGTGGGGGTCATTGATGGACCTGACTTATAGCCCTTCATCAGAGCTAAACAAACAAATCTTGACCCTCCTATGTTGACTAGAATTATAAACATTTTTGTATGTCCAGACACCCCCTTTTCAGATGGAGCCCCTTCCTTAAATATGGGGTCTATCATAAAACCATTTGCTTGCGCAGTGTAGGTCGGACACATCTACAGTCCTGCCAGATTTCACGTTGATCTGTGCAGCTGTTTTTGTGCTAGTTGACCAAAAATCACTGAAAATAAATCAACATTACGAAAACAATATGACCCTCTCCTTGCGTGCGGGGGTGGGGGGCATAAAAAGGATAATGGAAGTTTCAGTTCCGATCTCAGATAAAGTTCAGATTGAAGTCAGGTTTTTGGTGTTCTACGTTTATAAATATTGATTTCATGTTTTATTAAAACCAAGAATTTAGTAAAATGCTCTTGAAATGGCTGGAAAATGCAGAGTTTTGCACAGATGTTTTACAAAATTTTCAGAGGGAGTATACCCTTGGACCCCCCTAGGACTGCTTCACTCCACAACTGCTCGTTAACATGTTCCTCATTGGTTTTAGCATGTGCAGGTATGAAATTATATTGGTAACTAGGACAACTTTGCTTCTAAAGATAAAAAAATAACTTATTTAATTTGGTAAGTGAATGTTTGCAAATTGGCAGTGAGATTTTAAAAAACTGCACAATGCGTAGGGGGGGTACACCACTTGAAATCTTGCC